TTAGTTGACTGCTCTCAGACGTTTCCTTACCCAACCAGGTAACACCATCATCAGTGCTAGGGAGTGTGGGTTTGCTCCCTGTTTATATAGAGTATCTTGCCCTGCCAGTGTTGGTGGGGTGAGGTTTTCTCCCTGGTAGTTCCTGGATTAGGGTATCGTTTTCTGCTTCCTTCTTAGCTTTTTTTATTGTCTCTTTTGAATGGTGGATAAGTGTGGTTTACCTCTGTGTGTCTATGGATGGCGGAGACAATAAAAAGGCTAAGAAGGAAGCAAGAAGACCAGAACACAACCTCTCCAGCGACCAACACCCAGATAAGCAGGGATTAACCCCAGACAAACCATCGAGCAGAAAACAGCACCCTAATCAAGGAATTACCAGGAAGAAAAACTCACCCCCACCAACCCTGGCAGGGCAAGCCACGGTATAGAAACAGGGAGCAAGCACCACCCTCCCTAGCACTGATGATGATGTTACTTGCTGGGTAAGGAAACGTCTGCAGAGCAACCCACTGAGCCCCAAGGACTCCACAGCTCAACCCCGAGCTACAGAGATTCTCCTCTATTGGAATTTTCCTGCATTTAATTTTCTCAGTTGTCTTCTCTTCCTCTTAAGGCAACGCAAAGGTTACAAATACAGGGAAGCACAAATGAAGTATTTCGTTTTTTTTCTTTAACCCATCTGCCTCCGATTGTGCCGGGCTGCAGTTTAGCCCAAGCAGGGTGTTAGCTGAAGTTACCAGGCTGCAGTGCAAAACATCTGGAGGGATTCAGGTCTTAGCGGTTACGTTCGCTCCTGAAAAGCCGAGGCGATGTTTAAACGGGTAGGTCTGGATTTTCAAGAGCCTGCCCAGATTTCCATCCTTACCTGCGAGGGATAGATGAAGCCCTACAAAGCCCCGTTGCCCTGCTGAGACTCGTGCGCCTCAAGGCCCGAAACTTTCATTTTCAGCTTGCAATTCCTTCCGTTTTTACTTGGCTCCCTTGACGGCGATGTTCCCAGAACTCAGCGTGTTCTTGGATTAACTCATTTCATGCATTTGCACCGTACCTTGGAGCAGACCCTAACAAGCATGGCTGTGTTCACACAACGGGTGAGACCCCCAACAGACCAAGTTTAGCTTGTGTGTCTCTGCAGCTGCTAAGTCTGAAAAAATCTGCTTCAGTGCGAATGCAACCCCCGTGACGATTTCTTAATGGCTGCTTGCGAGGCAAGCTAAAAAGAGTTTCCGTAGTTAAGGGGAATATGAAGGGAATAACCACGCAGAGTCGCTGGGAGTCGGGTGGCATATAGGTTTAGTAAATTATTATCATTATTGCTGTATTATACCCTTGAAAACCAGACATATGGCATTAGAAAGGGAAAGATGAAGCTTTTATCACCATCTGGAGAGACATTTGGTCACACCTAGCAAGGTTCTGTTTCTGGAAAGTCGATCTCTTCATTTTCTTGACAAAGTCTGAGAATTTGTAAGGCCAGGATGAAAAGCGGTTGCTGGCCGTGGAGCTCGTGAACCCATTTGTACATATAAATGCTCCATAAAAGACGCTGCTGCGTTTCTCCGCGCACCGCGTCCGAGCACTGTGAAATGATGGATTTGGTGCTCGCCTCCCCCCGCCTCCCCCCCGAATCCACACACAACCACACGCTTTTTTCCTTTCTAAAAAGAGAAAGTAAAGGCCGCATAGCTGCGTTGCAAAAGTGAAAGAAACCCAGCGTTTGCAAAGCAGCCTGCGAGCGATTCTGTGGTTGAATCAAATAAATATCCAGCGTTGTATTAACAGGATAATACGTTGTGATATTGGCGTGATCCCCCACACGGTGCAGGGCCGCCTGTCACAATTTTGTCGTTTGAAGGCCATCACGGAGGATCGCTGCAAGTGGGCTCAGCTTTGATTCCTCCGTTTCATACATGCAGCCTCATAACCAGCGGATCTGATGGGGAATCTCAAAACAGCCTGCAGTTTCTTTTCGTTCCTCTGCTACCTTAACCCAATGAAACTGTGCTCCTGGACCACGCCAGCCCCCAAAGGTAGGCGCTACAGCCTCAACCCATGTCATGCAAAACATCTCATGAAAGAGCCTTTCAAACTCTGCAAGACTGCAACCCCCCTGCGAGGATAAAGGGATTTGCCGGGACCCTCCCCCACGAATAAACCTAGAGTTTACTTCCCGGGTTTACGGCCGGGCAAGAAGGAAACACACGCCTCCCTCTTTAATAATGCAATAACAATGCACTTTTAATATTATGATAGGCTTTTAATAAGGCAATTTTAATCTCTATTCTCTCAGGAGTTCTTCAGCTCGTCACAAAGTGGGTGAATTTGGGCTCTGGCTTTTCTGTGGAAAGCCAATCAGGTTTTGTTTCATTTTTAATTGTGACACTTCTTCCAGTTGCTCATCTCCTCTGAGGGGTCCAGGAGAAGAAGAAATAATAATAATAATAATAATAATAATAATAATAATAATAATAATAATAGCAGCAGCAGCAGCAGCAACAGCAACATCTGCCTATCCCAGGTCCTTGGGAAGGGCTCGATAGATCGACAAAAATGCCAAATCCAGTCTAAACATCTGGCTGACTGTGTGACCAACCACAATATCAAATTTATGTGCCCCCAACTCCAAACAACTCCGGTCCCTTGCTTTACAGGCTTTCTTCTCCTAATTTATGGAACCCTTCATCTCAGACAGTGAGGCGAAAGACGTTGCAGACTAACTTCACGACGAAGCCAGTATTATTCTTACCGGGTTTTGTGGACAAGGGGTTAGAAAAGAAATATGGGAAATTAATATGGTGTCCGGATTATTGTATGCAAAATGTTGGGAAAGCGATGGCTTGCCTGCCGTGGAAGATGGGATTATAAAGTGTCGGAGCTCACCGAAATGGCGAAGCGGACCAGCTGGGTCAGAGCAAAAAGTGGCAAAGACTTTTTTGAAAGACTGGAGCCCCGATACGGGCTTTTTGCTGCAAGGAGAAAAAAATGAATTGATGATTTCAGGATGTGGGGATTACAAATGAGACCAAGAGGTTGGGGGAAAGTTCAGTGGCTCGATAGAAAGCAGGGGCAAGGCACAATTGCATGATTCTTTTTTTTTTCCAATTTCTTTCTTGTTCCTCTATTTCTTATTTTCTGCTTGTTCTTGTTTGTTTTGCATATTTCATTATATTGAAAATTAGAGAGAGAGAGAGAGAGAGAGAGAATCCTTCATCAAGATTTTATTCAAATGCTCATCCATCCTTTAACTGGCATCTTAGAGCAGCTGATTGATCTAACATATGTAAACATAAATTTTTGATACCGAGCTGATCCCATATCTCCCCACGCTTGACTACTGATATTCATCATGTATAGCTAAAGCGAAAAATACAGCCCAGTTGCCTTTGGTATCATTAAATTAATCTCCAAAGCACCGAATGCAGTGGGATTTCCCCCTCCTCTCCTAACTAGTTATTCAATTGAAAACTTACACAATGACCCTTTCGAAACACATCTTTGACTCAAACTGTCCCATATTTTAATATTCAGCATTGCTGCACCTTCCGGCAGCTCGGCAGGCAATTTCTTTTTCAGTGATCCTTTTCACGGCGATCAAGCCAGTTCTGAAAACGAAGCACTTTGTCATTTCATCGTTTTCGGAGGCATAAAGAGGCGCAAATACTTGATCTCCAGGTTCGTCCCCTGCCTCATTCATGCTCCTACGTCCTTGGACATGTGCCTGAGGATATGGAAGGGGTGTTTAAACGCAGGAGGGCAACCACCACAACGATTGGTGTTCCAGTTATTATTCTGAAACAATAAAAATCAGCAATGAAAAAGGGCAGGGAAGTCTGCGATGATGAAAGCCGTACGTTTTATCAGCAGCATCTCACGTGAAAAACAACAGGGATAACCCTCGTGATAGTCCAAACGGAGTCATGCGCTAAGATGAACCAATGACAATTTTGCATTTCAACAGTGTGGGATGAGGTATATATTTATCCCACACCTCCTGACTGAAAGATAGGAACTGTCCCTCTTTGCTTATCACAGTGTTTTTCAGACTTGGCAACTTTAAGACTGGCTGGGGAATTCTGGGAGTTGAAGCCCACATATCTTGAAGTTGCCACAGTTGAAATACTGGTTTATCGCAACCCACAATAAGTTCGGGGAGAGGAAGATGCCACAATATTCCAAGCTGTTCTCCAGAACTGCCTTATCTCAATTCATCAGTTGACAAGCCCTGTCCTATCTTTTCCCGCGAAGTGTTTCTCCACCCCTCGGCTGTCCGAAAGGTTCTCCAGCTGTGCACCATTTGAACCCAGGACCATCTTAAAGAGGGAGGCATGCATTTCAACATTTCCTCTCCCGAAATATTGATCTTTCAGTTGGCCTGACATTTGCATTCCTCCTTTAGTGAATATTGCTTCAAATTAGGCCCTAAAATAGTTAAGCCATTTGAATGGTAAATGTCAAGTTGTCACACCACTTTTTGCAACGCAAAGATGTATTAAAGGCTCCTGATCTCAATGCATAACGTTTATTTTTGGGTGTCTGTATGATATATTCATTTAGATGCATAATATGTCTAACGTGGTTATTCCTCCCCTCCTTTTCTTTAAATTGTATGTGTTTCAATCAACTGTTCTACAAATGGTAAATTTTAAACTGTAAGCAAATAATGCATTTATGCAGTACCAACAATTCCCAGGGTGTACTTCCTTTCTTGTTCAGGATCTGCAAGTGAAGTTCCATTTTTCTTTCTTTGTCGGGTGAAAATTCCACCAAGGCATCCGGAGCGGCGACCGCAAGGGGGCTCTGTTATGGGCGGAGCTTCGTCTGCACGATCGTGACTGCCATCTTGACTTTTTTGACCTCACCCTGCTCTACAAGACGGGTGCTTACCTGTCTTTTGCAGAGAGGAGGAATTGCATCATGCAACAATTTTTTTTAAGCCTGAAAAAAAAAAGAATGAGTAAGACGATGCTTAATTAAAACTGAACGCCTGGATCGGGTTGATTGGCGGATTAATCATCAGCGGTTCCAATTCTGTACTCATTGACGTGAAAATACGCCTTTCTGAACTTACGGGGTTTATTCCTGAATAAGGTATGTGCAGGACTGTCCTATAAAGAAGCAAAGTTCTTTTCTTTTTGCCCTCCTGCTAATTTTTCTGCTCCTTTCGTGTATCTTCCTCCTCCTTTTGTTTCTTTTATTCTATCTAATAAAATCTAAGGGTTTGATATTTAAGGTTATCGTGTCTACAAAAATCCAGGCGGAAGAAGGCATACCAGCCAGATTTTGCCAGCCAGATCTGATAAATTTCCTCAAACTAGAGAAGATTAATAGGTGGAGCCAAGAGCAGTGTTTCTCAACCTTGGCGGCTTTAAGGCAGGCGGACTTCAACTCCCAGAATTCCCCAGCCA